GTCAAAAACACCATCTTGCCATACTAGACAGCAAATTATGCTATCATTGAACAAAAGTTGCACTACGGTAAATAATTGACATTTTGTTTCGTGATTCAATACTATTCGTTTTTGTACTAGTGAAATTTTTTAGTTTTCCACTAATCAACTGCATTTTCAATAATTTGTGGCACAAAAAGTGGGAATTATGATGTTGAGTTCACTGTTGAGCTATTAAACTAGTCATAGATGTCAAGAAATAATTTTGCTTGGACAAAAAAATAAAATTTTGCTTCCTCTAAATGAGAAAAGTATTCAAATTTGTGAAAATCGAACCATTCTCATTTTGGAAACCAAATAATTGCCACATGTTGTCCTTTTGTATTGGAATTCCATTTTTCACTAATTATTATGTGAAAATGTTAATTAATTCATTAAAATCACAATTTCGCAACACCAGATAGCAAATTTATTCTGTTATTCAAAAAAAAGACACTCCAATAAGTAACTAACATTTGGTTTCTCAATTTAAATACTATTTTTATTTGTGCTCGTGAAATATTTTAGTTTTTCACTAATCATCATTGATTTCAATAATTTGTGGTGCAAAAATTGGAATTACGATTTTTAGATCACTTTTAAACTGTAACACTAGCTGTAGTTATGAAAAGTCAAACCTTTCTCGTTTTGGACACAGAATCGGTGCCATTCTCAAATTTTATTGTTGTTTTGTATTTGAATTTCCATTTTCACTAATTATTATGGGGAAATACTGATTAATTCATCAAAATCACCATCTTGCCGTACCAGATAGTAAATTTGTGCTGTTATTCAACAAAAAATTGCACGACGATAAATAATTGACATTTTGTTTTGGATTCAATGCTATTTTTTTTCTACTCGTGAAATTTTGAATTTTTCAATAGTCAACTACGTTTTCAGTAATTTGTGGCACAAAAATGGGAATTGTAATGTTTAGATCACTTTTAACCTGTAAAACTAGCCGTAGTTGTCAAGAAATAGTTTTGCCCTGCCTAATAATAAAATTTTGTTTTCTTTAAATGAGAAAAGTTTTCAAATTTGTGAAAAATCGAGCCGTTCTCATTTTGGAAACCAAATCATTGCCACTCATTTTCTTTTTGTATTGGAATTCCATTTTTCACTAGTTACTAGACGAAAATGCTAATTAATTCATTAAAAGCACAAATTTGCCACACTAGATAACAAAATTGTACTATCATTCAATAAAACTGCACAACGGTAAGTAATTGATATTTGGTTTCTAGATTTAATACTATTCTTATTTGTACTCATGAAATCTTTTTAGTTTTTCACTTATCAACTTCATTTTCAATAATTTGCAGTGCAAAAATTGGAAGTACGATTTTTGGATCACTTTTAAATTGTAACACTAGTCTCAGTTGTCAAGAAATACTTTTGCAATGCCATAAACTAAAATTTTGCTTCTCTAATTGAGAAAACTATTCAAATATATGAAAAATCGAGCCTTTATCATTTTGGACATCAAATCATTGCCACTCTCAAATTTTATTGTCATTTTGTATTGGAATTTCCAATTTTCACTAATTATGATGGGGAAATGTTGATTAATTCACCAAAAACACCATCTTGCTAAACTAGACAGCAAAATTGTGTTGTCATACAACAAAAATTGCACTACGGTAAATAATTGACATTTTATTTGACGATTCAATGCTATTCATTTTTGTACTCATGAAATTTTTGAGTTTTCACTAATCAGATGTGTTGTCAATAATTTGTGTCACCATAGAGTATAGGTGTTAAGTGTTGGTAACACCTATCTGGACACCTATCAAGCCATGGATACGTGCCCTGCCACATGTGACTATAAAGGAGGACGATGGCAACAATTCTGTTATTTATAAATTGGTCCCTCAATTTTTGGAGAACAGCATTCAGGCCATAGGAAGTTCAAGTTGTCAGCATTCAGGACTTTTGCCATGTAATATCATTTAAGTAAATGTCTTGAGCTTTTAATGTCTATTTACTTAAGACATTACATGTAAATAAGCAAGTATCCCTAATTTGAATTCAATAAAAACAGTTTTCAAGGCCAAATTCCTCATGGATAGAGCCTTTAATGAATCAAAAGGTTCACAAATGCATTCAAATTCGACACATTGTATTTGAAAAAGGATCGATCATATATTATATGAATCGAGCTCGACCACAATATTTGGCTCAATTATTAATTGAGCCAAATATGAGTATATTCACAAATACTTGAGCTTATTTGTGGGCATAAGCTGTAGTTAATTAAAAATTATAAAATTTTAGGAGATATTTATCTACCCACTTTTATCCTTAGAAAAAAAAACTAATAATTCTAGAATATATATATATATATATATATATATCACAATTACAAGAGACTAGGGTTTCTCATCTAGTGCCCACACATATACTGCCTCTCTCTTTCTTGTCACCTCTCCTTTCTCATAGATAATCATCAAACAACCAAATAAAAAAAAAAAATCCTCTTTTCTGACTCCCCCCTCTTTAAGAACTTTTGGATCTTGGCATGGTAAGTTCATATCCATTCTTTTTCTTTTTTTTTAGTTTATATTTCTTTGCCTCTATTTTCATCTCCTTTTTCAATTATTGAGTGTTAGTGTTTTAATAGTTAATTTTTGCCTATTAATATAGATTCGATGTAACTTGATTGACTGGGAGGCTTGGAAAAGTCGATGTGCTCTGCAATTGTTCAGTCTCTTGAAAACCCAACATTGTAATCAACTTAGGTATGTAATCTTTTGTGTATATACATCTTTTCTCCATTTCTAAGTCTATTGCCAAATGAGTTATTATAGTGGTTTAAATTTTTTTTAATTTTATTTGTAAGGCAGTGATTTGGATTTTTTTTTTTTTTTGGCAAACCTCATATATGGGGGTGGGATGCTAGGCCAATTTTATTAAAACTAAAAACAAGCTTGAGGTGGGCCAAATTTGGCCTTATAGAAGGGAAAGTGGGCCGAAAATAACGATGAGTATTACTCCCTACATTATAAGCACTAATTGAAGACATCTGCATATTATCCAGAAGTAAAATTGCTTTTGTAGCTGTCGACAGCTCAGAGACTGAGAGGAAAACCTTATCCGAAGGTAAATCTGTGACAGCCCCACCTCCCCCTAAGGCAAACCAAAGGGTTCGGCGGACCGCCTGCCCAACTCTCGCCGGGACTTACTACAGTTCTCAAATAAAATACATCACTCACATCCAATAACATATGGTACAACCTCAAGAATAAACGAAATAACATTTTTCAAACTTAGAACGAAATAAGATACATTACAAATCTCAAGTAAAGGTATCATTCCCCGAATAAGACAAAAGTCCTTAGTTCTCCAATAATTACAATTACAATATCAGTCCCAAATATTACACCAAATACTTATCAAGTGAATCGAATTCAAATTATATATGAGATATCCCTTCAGGCACTAATAACTCAATACAAGCGCTTCCTTTGGCCTCGAGCCCTGTGGGGAAAAAAATTATTTTTGGGAGTCACTAATTAAGCCTCAGAACTTCCACTTCCAAACCTGTTAAGAAAAACAAATTGGGGTGAGCTAACGCTCAGTGAGGCCAAGGAAAAAACATGCAAGCATGCGAGCAAAGACACAATATAAAGCAATAACTTGAGTAACAAATAACTGAGAAACATTAAGCAAGTAGGGAATTTAATCACAATAAAAGGATACGGGAGCTCTCAGGAGCTAATCCACGCGCGATCTAAGCTCAGGTAGTTGACCCTCCGTCAACTTTCATAGTTATCTATGTAGAACTCCACTTACTACCTCCAGCCACTATGACACCCTCTTGAATCTGTAACCAAACAAGCATGTAGGTGGTATCACTTAACAAGTATACCTAGCAAGACCCCTTATTTGGATCAAACTATAATACTTCCCAAGGTTCACCAAGTTTCTCGATCAAACCCTTGCCGGCTCGAGTTACAAGGCTAGCCAATGGGTTGGGGCGTCCCCCCCATTCACTTTTAGGTCGATGAAATGAAGCTCCAATCGACAAGATTTGGTCATAGCATTGAGACGAGATGAGCGGTACCTCCTACCCTAAAAGGGCATGATACATTCTGCCGCTCAATGCTCGCGAAAAACACTTTCATTTGCAATCACATATAACACATATCACTTATCAAGCAAGCAATTTCATGAAAGAGATGACAAGGGCGATAAAGTATACCCTTGCCTCATTAACTAGCAAGTACGAGAAACCTTTCATTTAAACACTTCACATGCACTTAATACTCACCAAAAGTCATGAGAGAGAGAAAAAAAAACGAAGCGGCTAAACGAGTTCTTCGAAATTCTCGTATTCATCTGAGACATGTATAATTATGATCATTCACGTGCATATTCAAGACCAAGCAAAAATATCAAGTCATTTTCATGTTTATTGTAAAAATCAGGAAACTGGAGGTTTATGGCAGAAACCTTTAGAAAATCGTAAATTAATATTTACAAGTCCAAAATTTGCATAGTTGATACCGTTGGAAACCTAATTGAAAGGGCTAAAACTTTGTAGAAGACACCTTGATGAGATTCCATACGGATTTTGCCCAGTTTTTCCGTCAATAGACTGCTACAGTAAAATGCAGGGCAGGGAAAATTCTGTTTTTCCAGCGGACTTGGAAAAATCACCCAAAATCACAGAAAATGAGTTAGCCCCTGAAATTTACATGGATTATAGCCTTATGTGTCTAGTTTCAAACCAAACAAACAGGGCTTGATTTGGAGTGGTATGCACCAAAAGATAACCTTTTTCCCGAAACTGGTCTGATGTTCCAGAAAGCAAATTTCCAGTTTTCACTTTAACAAGTTCACTCCTTTCTTTTCCTTTGAAGAGCTAATCAGTTTACTCAACCCAAATACACTTAAAATCCATTATTTTGGCAAAACTTTAACTCAAATAAAAGCTCCAAAAATCTGAAATTTTGTCCCAAAAATTTCGGCCAACATGAAAGATTCAAAACAGAAATTTTTCCTCTTACTATACTTAAACACACACAAATTCATCCATCCAAATTAAGGAATACCTTACAATAATTAACAAGCCAAAAATGTAATAAAACAAGATTTATTACATATATACATCCAATCACATATTACACATCCAATATCGAAATATTGAGACCTAGATCAAGTGCAACAAGGTACACCCCCATCTAAGTCTCATTTAATCACATTTAATCACATAAGGCAACTAATACAATAAATCCCAATTGCTCAAATCAAACACATGTCCTTAGGTGAGTGCGATAAAATACACACACACCTTATAAAGAGAATATAGTTCACAAATCCATTTAGCAAATCCTTTTAGTAACGGCAAATACATTTAAATAAACAAAGGGGCACATTTAACTAAAATACTTGAGGAAAGATTTTAACAAATAAGAAACACTCACCAATCACCGCTCATGATCCCCATTCACCACAATTGGTTATTGTCCAAATCCAATTCCTAAAACACAAAGTTCAATATCACATATCACTGTCACCTTTTAGTAATTTAAGCACAACTCGAGCTACACTTATCGGATTGAAACAAACAATATACCGTTTCGAAGCTAAGACATAGCTCTACAATTCTCATGAAGACATCTCAACTCAGTTCCCACCCTAACCTAGCCAAATTTACCCAAACAGCCCCCAAATTTTCCAGTTCCAAGCTCACTGTGAAATTCAACTAGCAGCCCTGATTCATTCAATCATATCTCAGCACACACAACTCCGATTCAGGTAATTCCAAAACCATTTGAAATCTAAGATACAAGGCTACAATTCTTAAGAAGGCATCAAAAACTAATTCATCCATCTTTCCAGCCAAACGAAGCAATTACGGAGGCAGATTATCATGTTTGACAAAAACAGGGCAGCAGGGGTAAAATAGTCATTTCACAAGGTACCCTGTTCTGATTGAGCTGAAATCTATAGGCATAATCTATACTCAATTCTATACAACTTCCATGTTTTGTTCTAAGGCTAATTCAGCCTCCATCATACCTGAATATTCAAGCCAATTTCAGACAAGAAATCTGGAACAGTAATCAAAACTGCCAAATTCATTCAATTAATTTCAACCCATGAATTTCCAGCTATGAAATCAGTTCCTAGCTTAGTAACTCCAACTTCTAGTTACTACTACAAGCTATACCATAAAAATTGAGAGCTAGGAAGTCAAGTTACCTTTCAATCTTCAAGAAACAAAGTTGGACAGAGATGATGAAGACAGCCAGCAGTCAATCGTTCCTTCTCCTTGCTTTCACACATAATTGGAGGGATAAATGGTTGATTGAATTCCCAGATTTCCTCTTGCTTTTCTCCCTTTTCCTCTCTATTTTCTCTCGCTCTCTCACTGCTCTCTCTCTCTCTCCCCCTTTTTCTTGTCCAGCTTGCCCGACTTCCCCTCCCCTCTCTTTCTTTTATGTTGTTTACTTTGCTTAACTAGGAAGGCTTGATCTATTTAGAGTAGAGTCAAAGTCTTCTTTTCCTTTCTTTTCTTTTGGTTCCTTTTTTTTTTCTTGCTCCCTCCCGGCTCTCCTCCTCTTTGTCTCTTGTTGTTTTTGGTCTTGTCTTGGTTAATATAACTTAGTCAAAGTGCCAAGTTAAATCTAAGTTTTGCTTTTGTCTCTTGGTCAATTTTGTCAAGCTTCAACTTCTAACCACAATTAAATCGAAAATTAAATTTTTGGACCCTCACAAAATCAATGTTGCAAGCCTATCTGCAGTGGAGTTTGCCTCACGTAAAACATGAGTAATAGATGCCTTGGCTAAGAAAAGAGATCACCTCACCCGACAAAGCTTGTTATATAAAGGCCATGATGCCAATGAGCCAGACTTGATCAACTAAACGAAAAGCTGTGAATCAACTTCCACCTAAAAAGAAGGCAAATTCCTCCCAAGACATAACTGGAGTCCATGAAGCAGAGATAAGCATTCAGCCATAAGCACACTTCCTTCTCCAAACTTTTTAGAATATGCAAAGATCATTCTACCATCATGGTCACGTAGGACTCCGCCACTGAAAGCCCGTCCATTGTGCACACTTCCATTCGTGTTTAGCTTAAACTGAGGAAAGGCTAGCTTGCTTCAGATGACCAAGCACCATCTCTTGGTTACAAGGTGAGGAACCACCATGTTAGCCCATACACAATCTGAATCTCCTACAAAATGCGACTTCCTATAGGTTCGCGCCGAGCCTAGTTGGTCCGTAAAGGCATTAACCAAAAAAGATCACTTTCTGTGCACTATAGTCCTCACTTCGAAAACGTGAATTATTCCTGGTGTGAAGCCCCCACCTCTCCTTAGGGAGAACCCTAGAGTATCAGCGGAATGCCTGCTCAACTCTCGTCAGGACTCACGAGCTCATTCAAGCTTAATAAAGAACCACAAGTCAACCATCAACTTAATTAAGAAATACTTCGAATATACAAGTCCAAAACTCCCAAGTATACCATTACAATTACAATCTAAAATACCCAAGTATAACAAAATTTACTCTTTAATGGTCTCCAATAACATACAAAAGTATACTAGCTTCAACCAAAAGTCGCTAGTCTAGAATCACCAACTTCCACCTCTAAAGCCTATTAAGGAAAACAAACTTAAAGGAATGAGTTAACGCTCAGTGAGATCAGGAAAATTAAGCAAGCAAGCAAGTAGCACCAATTAATCAAATAGCATTCTTGAAAGCAATTTTAACATAAACTTTCATTTAAGTGCACAAGTAAGAAATAAATACACATAGAAGGATACAGGAGCTCTCAGGAGCTATTTCCACGTCTCGATCGATTCAAGCCATTCGGGGTTGACTCTCCGTTAATTCAAGTAACAACAAGACTGTAGCGCTCCACTTACTTCCTCCATCCAACATAACACCCACTCGAATCCGGAACCAAACACGCATGAGATGACAATACTATTCGAGTACGCCAAGCGAGATCTCAAAAGATCAAACTATTAAATTTTTCAAGGTTCACCAAGCTTCTCAACCAAGCTCTTGCCGGCTCGAGTTACAAGGTTAGCCAATGGGTTGGGGCGTCCCCACAAGCATGATGGTCGACGAGACAATGTTTAAATCGATTTAGAATCGTTCATAGCACTGAATTGGGATGAGCGGCACCTCCCACCCGAATAGGGCGTGGTACATTCTACCGCTCAGTGCTTACGAGTGAAAACATGTTCAAGTACAAATGCAAGTCATATACATTCATTTAACAAGTATCATTTAATTAAGAGAGAGAGAGAGAGGATGAGGGCCGTAAAGTACACCCTCGCCTCGGCAAGTTCACGTATCATATAGCACTTGTACAAATATCATTTCAATCATAACAACATTGAACTGTATTTGACACTCACCAAGAGCCAAGAGCAAAACAAGAGCAAAGCGACAGATCAGACAAGCTCCTCAGCGTCCTCGTGACCACCTAAGACATGCACAATCATGATTACCTAGGTACTCGACCAAGGCTAATACGAAAAATATTTTCTTGCTATCCACTCTCACGGTTACAAGTTCAAGTCAAGTTAAAGGAATTTTTCTCGTTAAATCATTAAAATAATACTCAAAGAGAACTCAAATGTCATTTTCGATTCAAGTCTTGGCAAGAACTCTTAGTTCCAAAAGAAAGTACCATATTTACTTTCAACACGAAAATCGAGAAAAGGGTAAATAGTTTTCATCTCTCAAAACTTCTAGACTTACGCCCAAACTTTAGAATATAAGGAGCATTCACATTTTCTAAACTAATGGAGTGAAAATGCATCAAAACTCCACTCATTTCCATAGTATATGTCAAAGCTAAAGGTTCCAAGTTTCGAGTTTAAGACTAGTGAAATTCTCCAAGAATTACTCTAGTTAAAACGCTCCATTTTTAGAGTTCAATCTCATGAAAATCAAGGGCATAAGACTAGGGGTTGAAATCCATTTCTCAAGTATGAAATGAGATGCAATTAACAAGGAAAATTAGGCAACCAAGAAACGCATCAAGAGTGGTTTAATCCTTTGAAAATCAAGATTCAAAATAAAGGTCTAATGTTCAAAGAAACCTTGTATCCAACCATGAAATCAAACTTAAAACGAACTAACAATCTCAAAGGAAAGTTAAAAGTTTTTAAAAGAGCATTTTGCTTGAAACCAGAAAATTCCAGCTTGTGTGACACCACTTGGAAAAATCATAACTCTAGTTTTGTAAGTCCAAAAATTGGAAACTTTATACCTTTGGAAACTAAATTTAATGTACTAAAACTCTCTAGAAAACATTATTCTCATATTCAAACTCGAAATCATTCATATTTGAGCTCAAATTCACTGTTCTAGACAGAACAGAGCAAAACAAGCTTGCAATTTCAGTAAACTTTAGAAAATTGAAAAAATTCATAGAAATAGAATCAATTCTTGAAATTTATACCACTGAAAGAACTCTAAATTTAGTTTCAAATGCAATAAACTGAACTCAATTTGGACCTTTCTACACCAAAATACAACAGTTTTTGGAAAGCTGATTTTTGGAACCTGTTTCATGAAATTTCCACTTTTGGAGCACTTGACATAGTTTCAAAATCTGGTCATAACTTGTAAGGCCTGGAGCAACCCAATGAGTACAAACAATTTCACAATGATGCACAAAAATATATCAAATTTAAGCACAATAAAGAAAACTTAATTAAAGAGAAAAGATAAGAAATGCAAACCAAATATCAGTCCAATAGCCTCTTCAATTGATGGCGATGCTAACCAAGATGTACAAGTGAAGCCTCACTCCTTCCTCACCCCAAACACTCTTTGGTTGAGCCAAGGAGTTTTACAACTATTCTAGTTAACCCTCAACAACCTACACTTGAAAGATCACTCATCCAATTAAAAACTATTTTATACAAATGAGGCAACCTTTATCAAGGTTTTACCACTCCAAGTGATAGGTTCACCTTCACCAAGGTTTTACTCCTCCTAGAGAGTAACCTTCACTTCAGCAACCTCACAACCCAACTTTCCCAACCCCTTATACAACCAACAAAGAATCTTTCTATTCAAAAATCTCACTTGTAAGCTTGTATTTTGTGTTGGCAAAAGTTTCTTGTCTTCTTGTGCTTTGGGGTGTTTATAGAAGGTGAGAAATGGCTTCAAAAGGCTCTCCAACGGTCAAATATTAAATGCTGTCAAAACTAGCCGTTGGCCTGTCGAACTTCCGAACCACCTGTCGAACGTCCGAACCCTGCGTCCAAACCACCTGTTGGACGTCCGAACCCTGCGTCCGAACGTTGACAGAGAGTCATCAAATCTTTGCAAAATTTCTCGGACGTCCGATGCGATCGATGTGCGTCCGAGGCGTGCGTCCGATCCTTCCGGACGTCCGATGCTTCCTCACGAGCGTCCGACAGAGTTTCCTTCTTGATGTTCTTCATCCTTTCGGGACGTCCGATAGCGTCCGACATGAGTGCCCTGTTTTTGCTTCTTCTTTT